AAACCAACACGAGAGGCCCCCGTTGAAGAGATATGATTTGAAAACTACTGGCACAAAGAAATCAGTGTTGGAAAGCATTGAAGGCAAAGAAAAAACATGAGGACGACGCGAGGATGAGCATCATGACCCCCCAGAACGTACGTCGATTGACGAAAAGAAATTCCCCATGTAACATGAAAGTACCGATTTTTTGGGCGCAGCACGAAGCGAGCGTTCCGAAAGCACAATGGCTTCAATCGTTTATCAAAAGGCATACGGAAATATTTGTGTGGAAGCAAGGCCCAAAGGCGAAATCAAGAGCGACGCTTGTGAGAAGTTGTGCGGCGCTGTTGTCCAACACATGACGGACAAAATGAAACATGAACATGCAAACAGCCAAGGTTCCTGTCTCATCCCAAAACGTGAAAACACCTGTAGTCTAGATGATCAAAAGGCATAGACTACGGAAATACTCGCCGGAAAGGGGGCCCATTGACGAAGTCAAAACAGACGCTTATGAGAAGTTGCGCGGCGCTGTTGCCGAAGAGAGGATAGAAAATAGAAGTATGAAACAACATGCAAGCAGCCACCGTTGCTGTCACAGCCTCTCCTGCCTGCGTACGTCCCGCTCCTCCCGCTCTCCCCGCCTGCGTACGTCGTTTATGTCGGCGGCGAAGACCATGGTATCACACATCGTCATGTCAAAGCGCTGTCTTGTCGTCCATGACGGTGCCATGTGATACGACCCAGAGCGGGGTGACTGAGGGTGTATTCCGAAGCCAGATGGTCTCTCGATTTTCTTGCTGCGTGCGAGTTATTGCTATTCGGTAGGTTTCAACAACAACAACGATGGTATTCTGTGTATTGTATGCGTACAGCTGGTGCACATGAATCTGTGTGCCTCGTGCGCACCGACAACTGCGGCCTGTCGTGCTGCGTACAACTAGAGCTATAGCTATTATTATTATTTTGTTTGCCCTCCGACAATTGCAGATAAATGCCGACATACATAAAAAGTCGATCGTAAAGGCCGTCATGCCAAGCCAAATTAACTCGATGCCCAATAGCTAGGAATGTTTGCCTCTAAGTCAACAACACTTTTGTCGAAAGACTACAGCTGAACTCTAGACACGAACCTTGATGGAGAAAAACGAACAAAACCCCAACCTCATCCACCCGAAATCAAACAAAACTCGGCCCCGTCTTCCCTGGTACCCCTGACACCGTATTGAACAGAAATCCGCTTTCCACCGAAGTGGTTAGGTTAAAGCTGTCGCACGCATATTTCGGCGCGCAAAAGTCTGTGCGGCATTGCTGATCGATATTGCCACCGGTCACACCAAGAGAGAAACATCCTATAGCTATTCTTACGTTCGTGGGACGGACACAGCACGGATGGAGCACGACGGGGGCGAGAAATTCGCTGTTCAGCGGGCCGCAGGAACAGCAATTGTATTTCCTCGGTGTACGATATTTGCCACAAAATCGCAAACCGTGTGTACTCGCCTGCGTACGTCGTCTTCGTCGGTAGTGGGGTGACGTCCATCGGTGGAGGAGACCTTGGTATCACACATGATGATGTTGAAAACGTTTACTTATGGTCGATGGCAGGGGTGTGTCATCGTGTGTGTGTCTCTTTTCTTCACTTTTAGCATCGCCGTGTGCGTGTACGTGTGTACATAGCTGTCGCTGCTTTCGGCGAGACTGTCGGGAACGTTCGGAGAGACCGGAGAACGATCCTGATGTTCGGTTCAAAGTTTCTTCTTTTTTCCCTGTTGTTCTGGAGTAGTGGTGTGGTCGTGGTTTGCTCGATGTACCGTGGAGGGCACGATCTTTACCCATCCTTACTACAATGTCGCACATACCGTGTGTCCTCGTGTGGTTGTCGATTGCCGTCTCAGACCTCCTGTACGAACCTACAGTAGTAGGCACACCTCCGCGGGTGCTGTACGCAGTGTGTACGCAGTGTGTACCCTGCAGCTAGCTGGGCAGTGTGCTGGTACGCTGGTCATGAAGCGCTCAATCTCCCACACTGCTGCTGCGTACACAACCTGTTTTTTCCCGTGCTTGAGCAACTCTCACCCACGTTCGCCATTTAAGCGCTGCCAAAGCTGAGAAATGGGTGGAGTGATATCATGAAGACGCATTCGCCACTGTGCCGTATCGTGCTTTATGTGAGTGTTTAGACTTTCACATGTGAGTGTGCTGGTGCGCTGGATAAGCGCTGCACACATGATGTTTTTCCCCCTGCTTTAGCAACACACTCACACGCGTTCGCCATCTAGGCGCTGTCAATGGTGAAGGAATGGGTGGAGTGATATCATGAAGACACCTTCGCGGCTGTGCCGCGTCGTGCGTTGTAGGAAATTGCTGTATCAATTATAGCTGACTGTAGACTTGCAGATGTGGTGACCGTAACTAACGATGTACTGCTGCTGACAGACCTCCTCCAGTGTACATGTGCTGGACTGCCGTTCTCCCTGACGCGTTATGCAGTCAAGGTCGCTCCTCAGATCCTCGCATCGCGTCTTTTCATGTGGTCTGCATGGTGCTCATATCCGCCAAAGCCCCAACGTTTTCACACAACAAGTACTCATACCCGCCAAGACTTCACCATGCACAAAAAATATGAAAAAAACATAATCATTTTTCAAGTAGATAACGACCGACGGTTGGTCGACGACGACGTTCTGCGATTATTGAATTAGGGCGGTTTGTCCAGTTACGATTGCACACGACCTGTAAACGTGAATCGACGTGTGTTTCGGTGTTGACTTTTTTGGACGTGGTCTTTTTTTTTCTGGTTGTTCCGAGTGTAGTCAGTCCACAACGCGTCCCAGAGAGAAGCTTTTGGCCGACGACATCCACAAACTGCAGCCAAAAGCGCGCGATCATACACATGCCCTCTGCAGTCGACCCCAAAACAGGGCGCTCGGTGTCTGGTTGGTCGTACACGAGCCAAAACCATGAACTGAACCATGTTGTCACCCACAAATCTTGATTCGGCCTTTTATTCCCTAGAAAAAGTCGCTCGAATCAGGATAATTTTTCCCGTGCAGACCACTCCCCCCCGACAGAGAGCAAGAATATACTTATATCCGAAAAATAGTGCTTGAGAGTCAGTCTGAGGTTAGGTAGATGCGAGCATGCTTTGCCCTCGTACCCCTTTCTGCATCTGCCCGTCATCGATGCCGGCCCACGCTCACGCAGCCGTACTACTACAGGAACACACGGAGCAACCCTAGCGCCTCATACGAAAGTACAGCAGTATCGACCAAAGCTCAAAATGAGCCACACATCTCTCAGCTAACAACTCAGTTCGTTCGGAGCAGGTCATTAATCGGGTTTCACAAATGTTGGCAACCATCCATTTAACCACCTGCCTTACAAGCTTGCCTTTGCCCATTCTAGCACTCCACCATAGGGAACATAGTGGCGCAAATCTACTCGTAGACGTGACTCGTAGACTTGGTCTTGTAGGGTTACGTTTGACTTGCCCAATCGGCTACAGGGGCGACTGACGGGCTAGCGGCTGCTCCTAGGTTCTCATGGGGGTGTGCATGAGAAGATTGCGAAGACGACCCTGTAGTGTGTGGAGTGCCGGCCATCTCTGGGCGGTCTCCACAGCTCCACAGCTCCACGGGGACCAGCAGCACAGCGGCGATGCACACAATGTGAAAACCGGACGTCAAAGTGCCGACGCCTTGGCGTAAAACCCGGGGATAATCGGTATATGCCCCCCCACCCCTGCCCCGCGGTGTTTGCCATCGGGGTCGGGTTGTCGTCGCTTGGCAGCGATGTTGTGAAACATGTCGATCACTTCGTGAGCTCGACAACCAGGTTGTTGTACCGCTTTTTTTTGTTCCTTTAAGTTTTTTTTTTTGCGGTAAGGCTGATTCTTATACACCTGGATTCCTAATCCCAAAATTTTCACTTTCCAGGATCGGCAAAATTCCGACTGGACAAAGGTCCGGCCGTTCTTACAGTGATCCCGATTTCTCAGGGGGATTTTTGGGGGGTGGGTGTAGATCGAACCCAGACGACATAATCGGCGAATTCGACCTGAGCTTTAGACGTATCGCTCCCGTCAAGGACTCCGGGCAACCCTATGCTGAAGGGCTTGCTATTCTGCACGCTAACTGTTGATGGTCGCTCAGCACTCGTGCGTATAAAAAACACATCGCATCACACCAAGCATGGAGACGCCGAAACAGGCCAGACCGCCACGAGACAGCAAAAAGCGCCGCTTTTTGCCGGAGAGGGGAGGACACCGCAACTGATTTCTCGCTCCCTAGGCCACCGATCGAAACCAGACCGGTCAGGGCGTGCTCTCTGTTCCTTGCTCGCCGGAATAGATTTGCTCAGCGGCGCGTACTATCAATCGACGGAGAGATGCATGCGCTTGGTGTGCGTTGCTTTTTCGAACTTTTCTGTTTCGCTTCACTTGAGGCAAGACTGATGTATTGAAGGCCTGAAAACAAGTTCAACAGACAGCTTGTGCACACGCAGACGACGATTTCGAATAATTGGCCATGGCCGTCCTATGGCTATACGAATTCCCGCTGGCTTTGCGGGTGACGTTCGCTGCTTGGGAGCTCGGAGTGAGGAGAACGCCCCGCATATGCTTCGCAGTGCGGTACGGTTTGTTTTCGAATCGGGTTCGGCCAAATGTTTGGGTCGGTCCCGGCGTGCGAAGTTCGTTGTTCTGCTCCTCATTGCTGCTGCGGCTGCTGCTGCTGCTGCTGCTGCTGCTGCTGCTGTTCTGTGCGCTGCACTCAAAATGGGACCTTTTGCACACCGTCGCACCCGGCGTACCTACCACTCTGTTGTTCAAGCTCCCGTTTATGTGGTGTAGGGGAAACGACTGATTCACGTATTTTCGATCCATGGCGATACTTGCCATTGGTTACTGAGAGAGCGGCATTTTCTGAAAGAGAAAATAGGGAACCGATACATGAATAGGTTCTTACCGTGGTGTGTTTTCTGGCCCATTTGCCGTTCTCTCGCCCCTCCACCTGAAGAGACTCATGGACGACGCCAACAGGCAAGGAAGGGCAATACTAGTGGCTCGTCGCCGGAGGATCGCGCTTCAAGTGTGGTATGAAGTTAAGGCTCTAAACGGCTGTACCGAGTTCGGGTACACGTTCATGAAAGGGTACGAGATAGGCTTGGGGGAGAGCAAGACGATCAACGATGTGTGGCAGAGTCTACAAGAAAGCATGGATCTCCAGCGCATTATGGTGGGGAAGGTGCGTTTACTTATCGATTGGTGTATCCCAGCCACGAGATAGGGTGTCAGTACGGGGTACCAGCAAGTGGATGGCTTAATCTTGCTGTATGGTCTGCCCGGTAAGTGGTTGTACAACGAAAATTGATATTGGCTTCGCATCGTTACCCTTGTTGACCTTCCAAAATATGGTACTTGTCATTTGTCGTATGCCCTTCCGTTGGTGTCGTCGGCCAGATCGAGGGCATACGCAGGGAATTAGACGCGGGGCGCGTCCTCCAGGAGGAGGCGTTTTGCCCAAAGGTGTTCTTCCTGGTTCCGGCTGATACGTCACGGTGGTCCGCCCTGGATCATTTGGAACGGTGGAGGATCTTCACCGAGAACATGAACCTTGTTTTCATGTGCCACACGTTCTTCGAAGAGGTTCATGCGACGATGCAACAGGGGCCGGGAGATCACCCGGGCTTGACTGCGGCAAACAAGTTTCAGGATGAATGCTCCGAGTTCATCGACATCGCCCAACCCCGGGTACGTGCTCGTAAGGTATCGCCGTCGCGATATTGCCTATTGCCCACCTCACGTTCAGCACTCGATGTTCCATACAGATCTGAGAGGTAGTGTTTTCTGCTGTCGTACTACAGCAGTGTGCTGATGATCCACAACACGCGTGTCATTCGTCCCAGCACATATATCTCGCGTTGGTACTTTTGAACACCAAGTCAGGTTGGCAACACCGCTCGATTCCACTGGGTTGTCTCCCGGTCACCATTCACCTGTCCTCCAACTACCGCACGGAAGCTCAACATATTCGGCAGATAATGAAAGAGAGTTCATTCTGCTCTGAGCGTCAATGTAGGGATTCCGGATCAGCCGCTCGCTGCTCACGTATTTTTGGCTTTGCCATGTGGTTCCCGCGCAAGGTGAACCGAGCTCTTCCCTGAAAGTGATCATCCCACTACTAGCTTGACCGACGGCAGTTTAGACCATCAGACGTTTTCGAAGGGATTTGGCATGACGACGCTGGCGGAAACTACAGGTATGTGTATACACCGGCGACGTCACATCTGATCGAGAAGGCGATAAAACAAAAAGAGAGGAAGCAACGTAAGCAACTCTAAACATCCCGGCCAGCTGGTCGAATATTCATTTTCATCGATAACCACTGGGCAGGAGAGATATTTTCCGGCGGATTATGGGGGTCTCTCGCACTTTCTACAGTTTTCCCAAACGACCCATGGGTGACGCATGAGCACTTTGATGCCCATGGGTTCCCCATGGGCGGCCAATGAGAGCCCTTCAACCGAACCAGTGTACTCCTAAACAATTGATTATCTGCCTTGCAACGGGCACTATAGCGGCTACTAACCCTAACATTTACCCTAGCTCTAACCCCAAGCCCAAACGATACGTGCTAGGTTGGCGCTGGTGGCTAAGTTCTTGGTCGACTTAACGGTGGCGAATGTCTATGTTGAGCCCACGGTGGGCACTTCATGGGCCGCCCATGGGTGTCCCAAGGGCGGTATAGTAAAAATGTCCGTAGCGTGGGAGATTAGATCATGGTAACATCGAATAGTACTAGTACAACGGTTCTGTAATTTTCCAGAGCGAAGGTCCCGGTTGGCCTAAATCACCACGAATCCTTGTAGCGGTACACGCGCTTGAACATGACGCTGCAACGAGGCATTCGGGTGGGGGTTACAATTTCCGTTGTTCCTCCATCGTTTTTGAGCCTCCGGTTGTACTTTTCATCTTTTGTCCAAGCGTTGCTCGGGGGCTTCACCATCGATTTGAACGTCCAACGTGTTCATACATGAATCGAAGTGTCAACGTCCAGATTGTACTCATCATCTTTGGTCCAATCGTTGCTCGGGGGCCACGAACTCGGAGTTCAACCCCAGGGGTTCCCATCTCTGTTATCAGCCCTGACTTGCCCGGAGATCGCATCGGTACAAGAGGTTCATCGGCATGCCATTTTCGTTTCGCATGAAGAACATTAACTTTCTTTGTCGTCGTAGAAACTCGACCTCCGGATGTTGGTAGTCCAGCAATCATCGTGATTTCAACATCGAACAAAAAAAAATTCCTTGTTCTTCTCATCGTAAATGCGAATGTGGGTTGTATGAGGAATCGACCTCTACATGTACCAATCATGTTTCAACCGAATTTCATGTAGAGATAAAGTTTCGTTTGTTCTGTAACTACTGTAGCACATCGTTCGATTTGCACTACACCGCTGTCGTCGCGGTCCCCCGCCCTCACCGTTCCGTTGTCTTCGCAGCCTTCAGGCGACGCACGAAAGCAAACATTCGGCGCGATAGAAATCGGGGTGCCATAGTAGAGGACCTATCTAGGGACTTTCGCGAGAATGATCCGTTTCATGAGCATTGTACCCATTCTGCCTAGACCGCCGGTACGCGAAGGAACAATTCATTGTTCGTTTCTCGCGAGATGCAGAGCGAATGACGGCAAACGTTATCCGGGCAGCATAGCAAATTGATTGTTGCGCTACATTGGTCGTCTATATTGAGGCTTAACTGTGTTCTGTTTGGCTGCAACGGGTTTTCGCAGGATTTCTTTGTGAAGCATCGTCAAGCCATCAAGTTTTCGGCGCTCGTCATTCAGGTCATCGGATTAGCGGCAGCATTTTTCGGGGTATCGGTGCCAGGCCTGCTTCCTAGCGACTTGTCTGAGCTGGATGACTTGACGAAGATCATGGAAACAGGTCTCGACGCAGCGGTTGCGGCGGCGACCTCAGAAGAGTGAGTGTCGTAGCAAACAGTGTGTAGGCAGTGGCCAGAGGTTTATATCCTGGCCAGGTCGTGTGCGCATGCCGCTCCTTCGAAGATATTAGGCCATGAAAGAAGTTCAAGCCCTACAAATGATGAACGAGGCGCCATGCCAGGAGTGGCGCCGGTCTAGCCGCTCGAACGTGCATTCTGGGTAGACAACGTGGTTAGAAATGTTTGTGTTGATGTATTGTTTTTGTATGTTTATGTTTTGGTTGTAGCGGAAGCGGTCAAGCTCATGAGATGTTGTAGTTGGAAGTAACAATTGTTGTTCACTGGTTATTGCAACAACACATTCGGCTCTCGACCCCTCACTGGCGGCCAAACAACGGTTGGGGTCCCACAATTCGTAACCCTTCCCGAAGAAACCGGTGTACACCAGATAATACTGAGGATGATTTATAGCACCCGCTAAGTACTCGGCTGGAACCGGAAGTGGAGATGGTGACGCACCATGCGGTCGAAAACCCTCCACGTAATTTGTTGAGACGAGCAAATTACACCCCTCCATTTAGCTGATACAGGACGAAAATTCGCAAACAGGCTAGAGCAAGCTCCTCAACCCCACCTACACTTTTTGACATTGTTACGGCACCCACCAGCAACCTCTGTTGAGTTAATGCTATATATACTGCTATCCTTGCCAAGGCAGTCGCTCTTTGAGACCAGAGGTGCCTTCTTGGTTGTATGGGGATCGATTCTGGGTCTTGCCTGGCTGGTACAACACAGGCAACACACCTCTCGCGTTTGCCACAGAGTATCATACGGCGCAATGTTACAACAGGGATGAACCGATTCTGGAGGAGCAGTCGCATTCAAGCCGGCGACGGCCATGGTGGAAATTCAAGTGGGGATGCGGAACAGAGATCGAGGCTGTCCAACACGGTACATCTTCGACGGCTGTGCAGCAAAGGTCAGCGTCCCCTACGGTGCACTAATCCTGCTACGTACGCACATAGCGCCATCATGCCAGCCAGCTACAAAATGTATGGAGAAGTAGCTGGGGAGGGGGGTGAGTGCGCACAATTCAAGATATGCATCCCCGTTTCGTCACCTAGGGTTGGACGTTGTCAGGGGTACAAAGCAATGGCTATCATGCTGTTACGGACGTAGAGAGTTGGGGCCCCGCAGACTGACCGTGGGGTACACAGTACTTACGCTTTTTTTGCGGGGTACCAATCCCATATTGCAACCCGTGTTTTGTTACCCTTCGGCTCAGGTTGCGAGACGGGTGTGCCCACCATGTTCTCCAGCATTACTTGACCCATAACGAAGTGGAATGGAGAAGCAAAGTCCACCGCAATCTGAAGCTGGCCCACAACGAAGACCACGGATATACCTACGTATGCAAGCGTAACCCACAACACGAGACGATTTGGCAACAACGGCGTATAGGGTTTGGTAGCGGTGTAGTACCCCGTTTCAGTTGATGGCTGCGCACCCCTTACTGCCGCGTGTAGGGCGATGGTAAAAATGACGTTGGCCAGGTAAACGCCAATCGGGGCCGGAGAAACCCACAAATTGTGGTACATGCAGCAGAGTAATACGGCTGCCCCGACATGCACCGAACGACAAGTGGCTAATGTGATGCGCTTCCTGTATTCGCCAATTAGGCCCAAACCCAATACCTTTGCTACGTGCGGTAGATTCGGCGTCCGTCTCCCGGTTGCTCGCGACCCAGGTGTTATCCGTTTTTTACGTATCGGTTGCGTGACCTGTGCTCCGCCGCTGCTGCAGTACTTAGTTCCAATCCGCATAGGATAAGTTTCAGCTACGTACCTTGATGATTTGGTGGCACCGGTTTTGGTGGCACCGGTATTTTGAACGGCAACGCTACTGTATTTGCTCCACCGGTGGAGTAACCTCTTATTTGCTCAAGCAGGTCTCCGCGCGCAGAGCGCCAATCGACCACAAACCAATTGCATGGTGTAGGTATGGCCTACACCTACTTGGAAGCAAAATCCGACCGGTGGCTGCAGAGATGCGCTTGCGCAACATGTCGGGAACCAGGAATCGTCTCGGACCTCTGTCCACACAGCTCCAACTGGCTTCAAACCTTTTGCATCGAGTCCGCACGGTCCATGCCATTCTTCCAACCTATCGGACGGCACTCCCATCCGATAGGTTCCCGCAGAGATATGGTCAACAGAGGGCGTTCCGCAGCATTTAGAGGGGGGGTGTACTCATAATCGTGCATGCCGTAGTCGTTAGACCATTGACCTCGCATCCCTACAAAGCCGGGACGGAGCACGCCGGGTTCTCACCGGACCAGGCTCTCACATCACCAAGAGTGAAGCGCCGTGAGATATTCGGCGAGTCGCATGAAGGGTGCGCTGCATCCTGCTAAGGGTGTTCGGCATCTTGTGCTGACTTCCTTGCGTACGGATGACAGCTGCGTACAGTAGAGGTCCCTGTTTAAGGCCGCCCTGTGACAGACGAAATGACCGGCCTTAAAGAGGGCACCCGGCCTTATTGGAAACGGGTCTAACGGGCCGGTCCCGGCCTTATTGAGGACTGAGTATTCCTCAATAAGGCCGGTACCGGCCTTATTGAGGAATACTGATGCTGCACTCAAGCCTTTCGGGAAGGTGGCGGGCCCCAACGTGTCTGAAGGCTCGCAGGATGCACGTTATACATACACAGATTAATTTAGCCGCACACGTCGTGACAAAAAATGATGTTGCATATTTTCAAATATTACTTGCTGCTGTAGTAGCTGACGTCCACAAAAATATGTATTTCACTTGGTACGTGCGAAGTATCTCATCGAGTGGCTCCCTCGTGAAGGTCGACAACAATACTGCCAATCCTGATCAGAATGAGAGGACGCTCACAGCAAAAGTCCAACGATCTGCACAACACAGCAACCATCGAAAAATGCACATGTTGCACCAACTGACCAACTGGTGCTTACCCGTTAAACACAAAGTCG